TTATGAATTTATTTTTGTTGTTGTTGTTTAGAACACCAAAGACGATATCTTGAAAAATGTTGGTAACCGGTCGCTATTTAATTGGAAAAAATACCATGCATGTCAGTGCTACTGGTTTCCAACATCCTTCAAAATATTTGAAGACAGGATTTTTCTTTTAGAGTAAACTATCCAATTAGAAACGTTTTTTAATATACATGTTTTTAAAATATAGTTGCTTTTAAATGTTGTGTCAGTTTAACAAAAAAAACTGCTGACGTCTATTGCAGATTTAGACATCCATGAATGAGAATGAGCTGTAAATGTAGTTTGACCCAGCATTGAGTTTCAACAACCCAGCATTCTTAGAGCGCTCAATTACTTGAAAAATGTCCATTACTGATTACAAATATAGTGCCCAACATAGTGAACACAATCTAGGTTACAATTTGCTTGTATGTTGTGTTTTTTATCGTAATGATCTAAAACACAAAGTGAAAAAAATGCTTTTCTTTTTTTTGCTATTAACACCATGAATTTTATTTAATTACATTACATGGCATTTCCTTACATTACCTTTCAAAAGGGTTTGTGAGATGCTAAATAATCAAATCACAACAATGTAACATTAAAATAAATTATTTGAACCGAAATTAAAGAATTGATTTACCTGAATGTAATTTCATTATCACAGAACTTTCAACAAGCAAATGTTTTATTGTCAACATACTGTAAGAAAATTAAGTAATGGTAATCTGATTGCAACTTTTTTATATGATGTTATCTAATTACAAGTACTTCGTTTTTGGAATCTGTTTACATAATCCAGATTACATGTACTTACTTACTACCCAGGACTCAGGACCCAGCACTGACTACTGTTTTGATTGTACATTTTCGTGTTATAATATGGTGAATGGTGTATATATATATAGCAGTCCAAGAAACAGACACTAATGATGCATCTTTGTGTTTGTGTATCTGAAGCAAACTTCCAAACAAAAAAAAGTGTGGTGTTTTCATGATGACGCAGTAGCTGAAACTGCATGGACACTTGAAAGCTCAGAGCATTTCTATTGAATGTTTCTCTCTTATCCTCAAGGTTGGAGGTCTGTGTTCTGCTCTAACAATGAATCATAGAACTATAGGCTTTATAAACAATTTATGAATAACCAAGAAGCCAGCAGTGGTGACACTGAAGGCTTTTGTGTTCTGAGGGTTTTTCCTTTAGTCTGTTAAGGATAGTGAAAGGCATTCAATGCCACCCTGCAGGTACACCAATGACCTTGTCTGTGTTTTTGGGAATGAGTGTATTTATGAAGAAATTTATATTGTTTTTGAGCTTTTGGAAATAAATCAACCATAACAGACTGGAAGGCCTGTCAACCTAATATGAAAAAAAGCTTTTACTTTAAATTCATGATGTACTATGCTCAGATTCTCTGCTGCAAACAGGGATGCATCAGATTTTTTGTCTGATAACAATGCTGATTTTAAAAAAAAATTGGTCAATTGCACACAGTGCTATAAAGTACAAGTACAATTAATTTTACTCAATATACAGTAGATTGGATAAAATTAACATTCAACTGCACTCAGCTGCACTCCTTTCTTGAAAGAAATCACATCTGTTTTTTGATCACGTCACAGCACTGAATCTGCCCTGTTAAAAGTTCAAAATGATATTCTCCTGTCCCTTGATGCTAAAAAAACCTGTGTTGTTAGTCAGGCTGTTCCTTACTGCTGCATTTGGCACTGTGGATCACTCAGTCCTCCTTTCACGGTTGGGCCAGCAGGTTGGGTTTCAAGGACTAGTTTAACTCATATTTAACTGGTCCCAGTTTTTCAGTTATGGTTGGTGACTTCTCTTTATCTTTTGCCCCTTTGACCTGTGGTATGCCTCAGGGATCCATTTTGGGCCCTGTTTTGTTCTCTTTGTACATGCTGCCTTTAGGTTCACTTATTTTAAACCACAATGTCTCTTTTCATTTGTATGCTGACTATGTTCAGCTTTATAGTCCTGTTACAGCAAACTTTTTAGATTCACTTGATTCTTTTAGCAAATGTTTTAATGACATTAGAGAAAATGGCTGTCACAACATTTTCTCTGCCTTAATGTAGACAAAACCGAGTGTATTCTGTTTGACAATACTAAGAGGTCAACCATTTCATCTTCAGCGCATGGCTCAGTTTCCTTGCTTCAGCCATGTGCTCAAACTTGGGTGTGAGACTAGACAGTAGTCTAAAATTTGATAAGCAGATTGATTCTGTGATTAAAGCAAGCTTTTTTCAACTTCACCTTCTCTCTAAAGTCAAGCCCTTCCTGAGCAAGGCTGATCTTGAGAAAGCCTTCCATGCTTTTGTTAGTTCGCATTTGGACTACTGTAATGCACTTCATGTTGAAGATAGTCATGTCCTTATCGTTTGCAGCTTGGGCAAAATGCTGCTGCTCGCATGTTAACTAACAGTCGGAAAAGTGAACACATTACACTAATTCTCTACACCCTCCACTGGCTCCCTGTTAAGTTTAGAATTGATTTTAAACTTTTGATGTTTGTTTTTAATGCCATCCATCAGTGGCTTTGCTCCTATTTAACCCAGCAGAGCTCTGCTTACCAACTTCTGCTTGAAGTCCCTCGTTCAAGATACAAGCAGTGGGGTGATGATCGCTCTTTTGCAGTGGCAGGTCCTAAACTCTGGAATACCCTTCTTACTGAGCTTCGTATAATCACTGACCTGCCACCTTTTAATTTTTGATTGATTGATTGATTGATTGAACTGTTCAACATTCCAAGAGTTCACACTTAGCTCATGATTTATACCTAGCTTGTTTGGCACACTGTCCCAGGAGAGAGCCCTGAGCTCAAAGGATCCTTGGGCCCAGGACTCCCCCCTTTTGCAGGGTGAGGAAAAATTGCTGAGGCTAATGCGAACTTCCTAAGAGTAAGACATTATAAAAAAGATTTAGGCTTATTTTATCTATAATATTGAGCATATTTGGATGGCGGGAGAAAAACCGGGAAGCCCGGGGGAAACCCAGGAATAAACAGTGAGAACATGTAAACCCGATGCCATTGGTATTCTTGCTGTGAGGCAACAGTGCTAGTCACTGGGCCACCGTGCCACCCATTCTAGATAAAGTTGGAAGAAGGGGAGCAGGGGGTTTCTTCCAGATAAAGATAGTTGTAGAAAGGAAATGAGGATATATATATAGAGACTTGGGATCCTTTGACTGGAGGATCATGATAAGCTAATGTGGGCCAGCTGGTCAATCATGAGAACGCGCTCCTCTCGAAATTAGTTTAAAATTAAACCCCTTTAAGAGAGGCAAAATGTTACAGATAGACTGAAAATTATTTTTCTCTTATAAAAATATTAAATTATTTAAAAGAAGTGAAATGCGGTAGCCCCTTTGACACATACAGACCTGAGCAACTTTCCTGAAATGGATCATGTGTGAACAGGCTCTTTGTGAAAATACCAGTAAATTTGTTCTGGCAACTTTCCAAAAAGTTGTAACATTTCCGGAAATTTCAGGGAATGATGCGCTGTGTGAACCTAGACAGAATATTGCTGGAAAGAGCGTTTTACGATTAGCCTTTGAGCTCAGCTCCAGCCAATCAGAAGACTCAGAAGTATCTACATCCGTGCTGTTTATGAAAAAAAAAAACATGTAGCTGCTAGATGTTAGTCAGGCATTTTCATGTTCCTTCTTAATGCCAGCTATGTAAAAATTAATTGACAAATTGCTTATGATAAACCACTGTTTGTTTACCTTCAAGCTCTGCTTTAGTCGCTTGACGCATGTGCACGTGAAGAAGCCGGTAAACGCCAGGACACACACATATTGTGTACACCTCGACATGCAAAAGTGTTCCTCCATAAGTTTTCATCGAAATTGTTCACAATACTTATCCATCCACAGAATTTGTAATGTAGTCAAATGTGTAAACATTAAGCTCTGGTTAGCGCTTCTGCTGTTGGATATCTCTGTGACAAAAGCAGCTGTATGTATGTAAAAAATCAAAAGTAAAAAATCAACAAAAGCCAGACCCCTTCTGTGTTTACAAACACAAGCGCAGGCGTTTCAAGCTCATTTTTGGGTAATGATGCCAGAATTTACCTGTATTTTGGATGGATGTGTAAATAGTATTTTCCGGAAAAATTCTGGAACGCCCTTGCCTGTGTGAACATTGCTTTTTTTCATTTACCAGTAAAGTCGATCCGGTATTTTTCCAGATATTTACCGGTATGGTGAAAGGGGCATTGTCTCCACATGATTTTTTTTTCTTATCTTTTTTCAAATTATTGCTGATAGTTTTAAAGGGGAAGTATAATGCCCCTTTTTACGAGATATAAAACAAGACTCTGACGTCCCTAGAGTGTGGATGTTAAGTTTCAGCTCACAAATAATGTTTTAAATAATGTTATCTCTTTGAAACTGCCTTTAGGCTTTGATACTTATCGTGTCATTTTAGTGATTGTCGCTTTAAAATCTAATGAGATTGTGCTCATTAAAAAAAAAAAAAATGGGGGGTGGGGGGTCTGGAGCTGCAAATGGCTATGTGCATTATCACTAATAGGCAAGGCTTTCCCCTTCTGATGACATGTACATACGGAGAATGTCTATCAAAGTGTTTCTGCAGACAGATGTGATTATAAAAGTATCAAATGTGATTATAAAAAATTCCTTTAGGGTTTACCCTTATAAAAGTGATTTTTGAATAATAGGTCCGCTTTAAATGAACCCAGTATCGGTTAATATATATATTGACAGTTGATACATCTGTATCAGTAGATATATCTGTACTGCAAATAATATTAAACACAGCCAAGCTCGAACTTATTCATATCCATGTTCTATGAATAATTTTTATTTTAACTTTATGTATTTGTGCATTTTTTGATGATTTTAAATGAAAAATAACTCTGGGTTATTAACACATTTCTAGGTGTTTTCCTACAATCTCATTTTCGTCCCATATGTGACTGATATTATTGTGTTGCTTTATTTTTTCTAGTGCTTGTCCCCAGTCCATGTTCTGCTGCTGCCACAAATAAGTGCAGCTCCATCTATAAAGGGTTTGCCCACTGTTTGCTGGCCCTGGGAGACAGTCTCTCTGTCAGCGCCCAAAAAGATGAGGACACGCAGGAGATCGACTCTATCTGCAAGTAAGAAAAAAACCTGCACCAGCAAAGCATACACAAGCATAGGTGTAAAAACTACACACACACACAATCATTTACAAGTACTGTTTTTAGAAAGAAATGTATACTGCAATTGTGCAAGCCAATAAGTAGAAGTTCCCAAGTTTTAATGTGACCTTTGTATAACAAAAAGAGTATGAAATAATAAAACAAAATCTGTTAGTTTTGGTAAAAACGTTGAGTTTCTTCTACCAGACTAAAAAGAAGATATTTTGAGGATGTTGGTAATCAAACAATTGTTTATTAACTTTGATTAACCTTTGATTAACTTTGATTGTAGGGAATAAAGTGAAAGTAAACAAGAACACTCAATTTCTTGGTACAAATGTGTGTAAATGGTGCACTGTAAAACTGTGTTAACTGCATCAATTTTTTAGTTGAAGCAATTTAACTTAACAAGTCATTTCATATGTTTGGTATGGTGTTGGCTAAAAGGGTGATCTTGATGGATTGGAAGTCCACTTTACCACCTACTTTTCATAAGTGGCTGACTGAAATGGTTGCTGCTCTTAAGCTTGAAAGAATTTGTTTAGCTATAGGGCAGATGCTTCTAAAAAATCTGGGGCCTCTTTCTTGCGTATCTTTTTAAGAGTTTAAAGCAGGGCACTTATGATTCATGGACAGTTTTACTCTTACTTTTCTACTCCATTATCAATGTTTTGAGTTTAATCAAGTAAAACTTAATGGTGTATATTATTTACTCTATATGGTGCATGTTTTAAATGGACTGGTGCTTGTTTTTGAATTTTTTTTTATTATAATTATTATTATTATAAATTTTTTTAGTTTAATTTTTCAATTTCTATCTTATAATTTATGTAAAAAGTATTAGAGATTGTATAAATGTTTTAGTTCTGTTTTGTACTAAAAGCTGTTTTTAATATTTAAAAAAACTTAAATTTTAACTTTCAGCAATTAATCTGACTTAAATATCAAGTTAAATATATATTTAATTTAAACAATTAAGCTACCTAGAAGTTATCTGAAACCTGAATAACTTACTAATATAAATGAAAGTAATGAAAAAAAAAACATACATTGCCGTGAGTTATTTCTGGGATTAATTAAACATTTCCCTTTAATTTGAACAAAAGTGACAGTGAAGTCTGTTCAACTGTCTATTCATCAAAAAATGTATGTCTCAATATATTCTACAAAATATCAGTCTCAAGATTATTTATTCATTTATTTTCCTTCAGCTTAGTCCCTTTATTTATCAGGGGTCTCCACAGTGGAATGAACCACAAACTTATCCAGCATATGTTTTACACAGCGGATGCCCTTCCGTCCATCGACTCTCACATTACACTATGGCTAATTTAGTTTATTCAATTAACCTATAACGCATGTCTTTGGACTGAGGGGGAAACTGGAGCACCCAGAGGACCAACCATGCAAACTTCACACAAAAATGTCAACTGACCCAGCCACTGTGCCACCTGTCTTAAGTTCTGTAGTTCCTACAGTATGATGAAAGGATTGTAGTCCTGGTAAATGGTTTCCTACAATCTATAAGAGTTAGATCGCTGGTGATCGTGACAACATCATAGTTGCTGGTAAAACAACAGCATGTGTGTCTAATTAGTTGTGTTACAAATTTTTTCGTTGGTGGACTTGAGATGCAGAGTGGAGTTAACTGCGATGACAGGGTTCGAGTCCAGTGAAGAATGGTTCTTAGAAAGCTGGTAAATAATCGGTCAGTTGGTTAGGTCAGTAAGTCAATCAGTTGACAGCTGCCTCTGGTGTATTTACACGAGAAGAGCAGGCACGAATGGCACTAAATGGCATGAAAAAGCGACTCCTGGTGGATTTGTGAAAACAAAAACTGCAAAAAAAGCTCCTGGGACGTATTTTGCTCTCTCCAGAAATGTATATCGTAATCGGAATGAGCCTGAGTTGTAACTATTACACCAACTCTTAAATTCCATCTGGTTTGTTTTCTTCCCAGTGCTAAATTGCAAAGTCATACTGAGTGCCTGAGCTTCACCAGAGGATGTTTCTAAAAAATCTACCTTTTAAAAAAATAATTAATAATATAAAGAGCAGCATAGTCATACTTTGAAATGTTACAAAGCTCAAAGGGTCCTGCATATCACAAATGACCCACCACACATTTACTTTTCTTTACAGCCCCATAAAACACCTCATTCTCACCACAGGATCATTTGCAGTATACGCTGTTCATTGTGTTGTCGCAGAGAGAGAATGTGATATAGAGTATCACAGTTCACTGATATGACACCTCATTCATTCTCCATCTCCCTACATTGCCTTTCATCTCATTTTCTGTTGCTCCCTTCTACTCCTTTCCCCTATTTCTTCCTCTGCTCACTCATCTTTCTCTTCCTCCCAAAGCGCTGGATATTGTAATTAAAGACTGGACTCTCACTATTTCCCTGTCTGTCTCTTCCCATCTGCCCTTTCATAGATCATGCATCTATGATATGACTTTATATTATGTCACACCCTGTAGCTGCAGGAAGTCTTTAAGTATTCATTGTGTAGCAGCATGTTGTTCAAAACAGCCTCCTGTTTATCCTCCAGTCAGACTCAATCCGTTACACATCACCCGTTTATGCCACTTACTGAATGAAGAACAGCAATAAATGGTGCTGACGTAATGCGTTCTATAACTCATTACATTTTTAGAGCCTGTTTAGGACTCTTAGCAAAATTCCAGGCTTCATTTTAGCTGCATTTAGACTGCAGATATTGTTGCCCAATTGACTGCCCTTCAGAAAAAGAAGTATACTTTAAGTTTGTTTTATGAAGTATACTTAATTAATATATTCAAAGGGACTGTTTACCCAAAAATGAAATATTTTTTTTTCTGTTGAATAGTAATATGCTGGTGTTTAACTGCATTGCTTTAGTGCATTCCTACATTGGGCTCTTACATAGTCTCTGCTATTCATAGCTGTGGTCGGTATTTCTCTCTGTCTTGTGCTGAACGAAGTTGACCAATCACAACCCAGCAAACAATTTTGTGTTTAATAAATGTCTAATGTACATCTAAACAAAGACAGCTTTGCTAAAACAAGGCTAAACTTGGGCTGTCAGTGAAAATCTTATAGATGTCTAAGAATAGCCCAAACACTAGACTAATCATCAAATAGACTGATTCAAGAGTTCACACTTAGCTGATGATTTATAAAAGCTTGTTTGGCATGCTGTCCCGGGAGAGAGCCCCGAGCTCAAGGGCTCCTCGAGCCCGGGGCTTCCTCCCGTTGGCAGAGCAAGAGGGGAGCCTGAGCTCGGTGGATCTCAGAACTCCCCTGCTGCGGTAGCTAAGGGAACACAAGGGATTAGACAAGCTTGATTGTTATGCATGTTGAATGTCTTTGGATGGTGGGAGGAAACCGGAGAACCCGGGGAAAACCCACACGGACACGGGGAGGACATACAAACTCCTCACAGGAACACCCACCGGTCCTGTGGAACCAGGGCCGGCAGTGTTCTTGCTGTGGGGCTCACAGTGCTAACCACTGGGCCGCTGTGCCGCCCAATCACAGGTAAAGGAGGAGAATAGGGGAGGAGGGGGGTTTCTTCCAAACGAAGATAAAGTGAACTGAAAACTGTGGCTATTTATAGTAGCTTAGGGCTCATATGGTTGGAAGATAGTGATTAGCAAATGCGAAACCGGCCGTGATAAATCATAAGCACGTGATCCTTTCGAAATTAGTTTATGAATAAACTTCACTTAGACTTTATATGTGTAGCCATTCATTTCTGTTTATTTAATGACCAGTCTAGTTTTGGCCTATACATAGATGTCTATTAGATTTTTACTGACAGCCCAAGTTTAGCCTTGTTTTAGCTAAGGCGACTATGTTTAGAGGTCTATTAGACATCTATTAGACATCTTTTAAACACAAAAATGCTTGCTAGGAACAGACTGGGTCATCAGACCAATCACTGCTGATTAGCATTATGCAAAAGAAAGGTTTGGGAACAAATTAATTGGTGAACAAATCATACGGGAGCTGTTGGGATTTTTGGGTAAAAAAAAAAAAAAAGCGTATTATTACATAATAAAAGTGTTTTTTGACCTTGCATGCATATCAGCCTGTTGTTGGAAACCCTAAAACCAAAAAGTGACATTTTTTTAAATGCATAATAGGGGCTCTTTAATACTTAATAATCAAACCCAGAATTAGGGATTTGAGTACACACACAGTGGTGAACACAGTGGTGAACACACAATACAATATCTGAAGACAAAATGTGCAATTTGTAGTAGCCAATTTTGGAATAAAGTTCTTTGAACCCTTTATCTTTCTGTAATATTATTTAAAATATATATTTAATAGGACACTCAATCAAAAGAGTAAAAACAACCACAAATTAAGTTTAATTAATTTGTAATATTTTTAAATAAGTATAAGCCAAATATACTAAGAGTTTTCTGTAATCGAGTAAACTTAAGGCCAATTATAAGTGTATTTCTGGGATGTATTTTAAGTACATTTCAGAAAGGTCGCGACTAGAAGAAGTATACTGTTCGTTTTTGTTATAGTTCATAAGTGTACCAAATAGCACACCTGAATAAACCTTGTTTTCTTAATGGTATGTGCAATTAATTTAATGATCAGCTTGCATCTTACTTTAAAAATTGACCCATATTATAATTTTGGCAATTTACCATAGACACATTTTGTTACACTGAGTCGGAATTATTTGACACATTCATTTTCATGGATGTATTGTCCTTCAACAGAGAAATCCTATCTGTCCACTTACACTGGAGGACTCAAGTGCACATATCGATGCATATCACATATATAGATCCATATATGAATGAGGCCTGAAACCAATCTGAGAATCTCTGAATCCTTGTGCTTCTTTTCTGCTTGCACATTCATGGGTCATATTCGACCTGTGCCACATGGGAGGAAAAACTCAGAATTGGATGTCTTGAACCATGTAATGTAAAGGCAGTCTTTTTGACAGACTGGGTGCCGATT